TATATATATATATATATATATATATATATATATATATATATATATATATGTATATACATATGTATACATACACACAAGCATGAGATGTGCCAAGAAAGTCTGGTCCCACCTTCCCTCGGCTCTCTTCTGCGCCGGGAAGGGCGGACATAAAAGAAGGGAACATCGTATCCTCACCACAGTTGACTTCGATTCTTCTCACTATGATCGCCCTCATGAAGGTATGTTTTTATTCTATTTTTTTTTTCTGACCGTCTGCGTCTGTTTGACTAAATATTGGTTGATTATGTCTAATCCAATGTGACTGTACATCGACATTATATTTCGTCTGGGCAAGTCGGTCTGTGAGCAAAATTGTAGGGCTCTCACTTAGAGAAACAATAACCTAATGATACACCATAAAATATAGCACAACATACAGCATGGATTTCTATGCTATTCACGGACTAGGGTTTAATACACGTGTGATATTTCATGAAATTAATTGTCTTCAGCTGTGCCTGGCCTTGTCGGTGGTGGGTTTCTCGGCCGCCACTGCCGAGGAGGCCCAAAACGTTATCGGTCCTGTCCTGCCGGGCCTCGTCGTCAGGGCTGAAACCAGCTTCCTCTTCTCCAGGACTGTAACAGTGAGTTAATTACCTGTCTTGGTTTGCTCTGCTGTATTCTTCACACGCTGCTATAGCTCATAAAAGTAGCTTCATTTCCATATACCCTAATATTATCTTTCCTGATGCTTCATAGGTCCTTCAGACGATACAGACACAGGTCACCACCTTGGCAACTTGCATGGTTGAGGCCTCCGACCTCCCTCCTTGTTCTGCCAGGACTGAGCCCCGATTCGTGGCTGTCGTCCCAACCGCCTATGCTCGAAGGTAAATACATTTCCTATTTCAAATAATGGATTTTTCTTTTTTCTTGATACTGTCTATAGTATAAGCGTTTTTATTTTCTTATTGTATGCTGAACGTTCTTATAATGTTTCTGTACCACCTTTGCTTCCTCAGGTATGAAGTCCAGCCAGAAGCTCGTGGATTTAACTTCCTTCTGCCTTCTTTCAAATCTAGTGTGCAATTAAATGACGGTAAGTTTTTCGGTTAATTCTTCGCTTACAACTTGTGCTATTTATTATTTGTCAAATGCTCCTTTTAGGCTGCAAATAATAACATGTCCCCTGTCTTTCCATAAATCCAGTGCGCATCATCGAATTTCTGCCGCCGATCGGCCTTCTGACAGTGGTGACCAAGACGGCGTGGGAGACCGTGGTCACTGCCACCGTCAGCCATCCGACTGACACCGTCACGATCTCCATGGCTGGGTGCGTGCCCGAGATCCTCCCCTTCAGCGCCCCTGCCTGTGTCGCGACGGGCACATCGACCACGACAACAGCTACGACTACTACTAGTGGAACCACAGGTACAAGTACGACTACCACTCCAACGGCTACTACTACGACTAGTGCAACAATGACCACGAGTACAACTACTTCCACTGCTCCAACTACTAATAGTGCAACCACGACGACTACCCCTGCGGCAAGTTCAACCTCTACCACTAGTATGACTATGGTTTCATCTACTACTAGTGCAACCACAACTGAGACTACGACCACTACTCCATCGACTACAAGTACGACTGCGACTAGTGTAACTATGACCGGAGCCACAACATCGTCCATGGTCTCTGTCACTACGGCGATCCCGCCATCTTCCACGACCACAGCAATGCTCCCCACAACGCCCACCATAACGACCACGCCCACCAGTACGACGGTGACCCCGACCACGACCACAGCTATGTTCCCCACAACACCCATCATAACGACCACGCCCACCAGTACGACGGTGACCCCGACCACAACCACAGCAATGTTCCCCACAACACCCATCATAACGACCACGCCCACCAGTACGACGGTGACCCCTACCACGTCAACAGCAATGTTCCCCACAACACCCATCATAACGACCACGCCCACCAGTACGACAGTGACCCCGACCACAACCCCTGCCCTCAGCTCAACCCTGCCCATCACCTCGAGTGCTACCACGAGCGCGTCCTTTCCTCTTTAAACTACCACTGAGACTTGTGCCGCCTCCGCAGATAACTTCTACGACCCAACCAAAGCCTCAACCCACGACCTCTGCCGCTACCAGCCAAGCCTCCGACCTCCGACCTCTGAGGCTTTCAACCGAGGCTCATGTGCTGCCTCTCCTAAGGACGACGTTCATAACAAAGGTGTTGACGATCCTGATTTTGTCAGTGAGGAAAATTGAAAGGAAAAAATAAATACAATTCATGGAGATATTACTAGTCTTATTTGGGCCACCTTGAGTTTCATTATATATTTTTTATCATGGATGAGGTAAGGTAAATAAATTATTGTCTACGTCACTTTGAAGAAAGTTTGATGTTCACATGGTGGAAATAGTCAAATGAAACTTCAGATTATGAAGATCGTGATGGAGAAATCCAATGTTATGTGTACATTAGATATAATACAGATATAAAAAATAAATATTAATAATCAGATTTAAGCCCACGTTTAGATCTAAATATGAAGCATACTTTTAGCTTTAATCGCCAGGATAAAAGTTTCCTTCAGAATGAAACTGAGCATATACGGATGCCATAATGACAAATGAATGTACAGACAGGACTATGCTGACATTTATCAACAATATGCCACTGGTAAGACAGCAACAGTAGACCCAAGTTGTGATAACACGTGATATCGTGAAGTAGCTCTATATCTACTTATATCTGCGATATTCAGAATGGCAAAATAATGGCAGTGAATCGAAATTACAATAATGAAGCACTTCTTCAGATAACGGAGGCCTCCCGAAAATTTTACACAGCAAAGATTACACGTTTTTTATATTAACTGAAGGCCAAACAGTCGAGAAGACGCATTGTGGTAATAATAAAGCTACATTTAAATAAATATAGACGTCTGAAGAATATATAAACACTAAAAGCCCTGCATAAAATGTCAAAGACCTCTAAACTTGTTAGATATAGGCCTATAAATAATCGGTTGGTATTATTTCATCAAGAAAGCCTCAATGTGAAACAAACAGCGGTGAGTTTAAATTTCAAAATGTGAATGCTTACTAAACGGTTATTTCCAACGAATAGAGTAACAATTCAAGGTCACTCGGTAACTACGAACCACTTGTTACTCTAATCGTTTCTGGCTATCTCTGCACTTTTGTACACATGTGCACGCATGTATACACATTTGCAGATATGTATACATATTCACACATACATGTGCATACATTTACATACACATGTACACAAATTTACACAAGTACATGCATGCACATGTTTTTATATACATGTGCACATTCATGTACACATATGTACCCAATTGTATTTGTACACCCACATACATATGTATGCATCTGTAAGCACATGTAGATGCTAGAAAACACGAATACAAATGGTCTGAGTCAAGCAATAACTGCGTTTATGAATACATCATGTTGTTGAGGATAAGATACACAGTACCATTTTAGTTTATACTGTAACTCGGGAGCCAGTCACGATTTCTTCATGTAACAAACGGCATTTGGAAGAGAAATGTGTGTAGTTTTATAGCTAAATGAATAACAAATTTTCATAGAAAGAAAGATTCAGAAAATGAACAGAAATATTAACGATTTTCGTCTCTCTTTTCATCAAACTGAATTTTTCGATCTTCTGTACCGTTATTTACAAACATTTTACATCCGATTTAAGATTTGTTCACATCATTGGAAAGCTAATGGAAAAGCACAGAAATTGACCTTGGGGATTTTTTATTTTTGCTTCGGTATATTTTTGGCTATTTTTTTTAATGCCCATTATACATGGCTTTTCCTTTACAAAATCGGAAAAAATGCGAAATTTTTATTTTCTTTTTTTAGAAAACTAAGGCAATTTTCGAAAAGGCTCACGTCAATCCCTTTGGATTTTATCGATGTTTATGGTGATTTATTTCACTGCAAAGAATCGCAACAGTGTGGACGTATGTGGAAAAGAAGCTTTCTGAGGGGGGCATTGCCCGCCTTCGGGGAATTTCCAATCATTTTGTACCAAAGATGTGGAATGCTATAATGAATAAGATATCCAAATTTGAAAAAAATCGATAAGACCGTTTCGATTTTATTAATATTTAAGAAATAAATTTACCCCTTTCACCACCGCATTGAGGGACAGTCCCCTTAACCCAATGCCGCCGGGGAAAATGAACAAAAAATGGGGAAAATGCTGTGCCCACTTTCTATGTTTTTCGTGAAATGTCTGCCGATAGATGGCTCTGCTAGCGCCTGATTTAAATGGCGGGAAAAACGTATTTTTCACTAGTGCTATGAAAATAAATGGTGATATTTTTATCATAAACATATTTTTTATAATGTTTTTAACATTAGTAACAGCAAAATAAGATAACGTAAAATATTTCGTAAATCAAAGAAACGGGTAAACGGGCGAGACGGGCGGTGCTCGCAGTTGGCTCATGGGGGATTTAGTACAAGTGTTGCCATCTATCCGTAAAGACAATCAAACAAGTACTCACGGTGGGCATAGCACGTACGTACACGTCATACCCGGCAGCAATGGGTTAAGACTATGGTATGACCACCAAAATCATTAAAAAAAACATAGCGATGCTACTGATCACACGAGATATTAAATTACAGGAAAGCATTAAATGTACAGTGTTTAGGCAACCCAGTCATACAAGTTCAACAGGTTTAATGCAACGTCTTTTGATTGCAAAAAACAATTGGACAAAAAACAATGCAGTGTCATAAATTGAACCTGATATATTTGCAAATTTGATTTTCATTTCTGAAAAAATAACATTTATATCAATGGTATTAAACTCGTTTGTGGGACCATGTATATAGACACATATGCATAGATCTTTTACATATACTCTGCAAATAGACTGAACAATCTATTTGTTCATTTAATGCATTGTATCACATAATAATGGTTAGGCAATGCGTCGTTTTTTATATTTATGATCTGCATAATGTCCAACATTAGGTTCCAAACAAGAAGTCTCTGTATCATTATATTTCCATATCAGTTCCATCGTGCAAATTGGG